CTAAAGGCGGGGGTTTAGAACGGCATCCACATGCTGCCGGTGCTCTTGAATTTCCTACTCTTTTTCTCTGAGCTCACTTAAGCTACCCTGTCTGCTCCGCAACTTCTTGTGTTGGGGAGACTTGCTGGAAAGCAGAGTTCTGGGCGATTGCTCGTCCTGGCAAGCACCTGGCAGGTTTTTTCACGAGGCGCTTCGAAACACAGACGAAAGCCAGTGAACCAATGTACAGAGAACACAATTGAAGTTCAGTGAGATACTTGGTGATTTTGTTCTAGGCATATCTGGTGGGAGGGGGGGGGGTAATTATTGGTCTTAGGTGCTAAGATGCGTCATGGGTCATAAGTACCGAGGCGCCAAGTCTCACCGCTGCGATCTCGCGATGGAGATTCTTCAGCTCAGTTTCCATATAGGTGTGGAAGCGACCCTGGCTCTTGATCAGCCACGTCTGGTCCTCGACTTTGGAAAAAGAGCCCGAACGTGGTCTACTGGCTGCCGCTGTACAACAGAGCCACGTAGTATGGGTCCATGGGACTACGACATTGATCAAGCAAAGGTAAGCCAAGAGTCATGCATAATCTTGCCGATGTCCACGGCCCGCGCCTGAAATACAGGACACTGAAGGCAGCACAATGGGCGCGTTCCGTGCCTGCCTGCCCTCGCAAGCGAAGACAGCCTTTAAAAAACTCTTCTATCTCGACGGCGCCACCTGTCATCACAAGAAGTGAGACTTTCAGGATACCGTTTACATATGTGTCGCTACCCTTCTCGCATGGGCGACCAAGAAGTTTAGATACCAAAGGCAGGAGAAGCGCAGCTTTAGCGCGCCCCACCTCCATCAAGATCCAAAAGTTTGAAAAATGACCAAGCATCCCAAACCTGACGTCGCCGGCAAGGGTTTGCAATGAACCGTTAGCAACGCCTACCGCTCATCAGTGATCCAAACTTCTACATATACGACGAGCAGACGAGCATTGAAAAGCCAGTGAATTGTAAAGGTCGGGACCTCAGCAGACGAGTCCCTTGGAGGCGTACGCCTTTGTTGGAGACAGTCTCCCTGTCGATACTTGGAGTGCCCGATAAGGTGTCTGACGGATTGAGTGTGTGCTTGCGTGTTCCGGATCCAGCGTGTGCGGTGATTCATGCACGCGCCGAAAAATTGCTTTGGCCATCATCCCGTCTCGCTCATGCAAGGCCTTGCTATAGGGCTCTGCTACCCGCAGCTTTCAGCTGCTTTCATCTGCTCAAGCCAGGCCCCATTGCTGGGAAAGAGTGCAGCTTTCTACTTTGTAATGTGAATGTTTTCCCGTTCAGCTCTGCAAGTGATATTGCTTTCATTGCATCACAGCAGCGTCAAGCCCGAGGGTTTCGAAGTACTCGCGCACAGCGGGTGAGTCAATCTTCTCCTCGAACATGGCATAGGTGATAACGCCAGAATCGGCTGCGCCCAGCTTACCTGCACAGCTTAGCTTGAACAACTACCAGTGCATATCTGTTGAACATCTTGCAACCTCCTCCTGATGAAACTTGCTACAATCTGCAAAAACATGCCTTGGCTGCCCTCCATTTAAGAACACTTTCGCATGCCAAGGCGCTGAACAATGCTCGTATTTCATGCAGGTGCGCCTCCTACCAAGACTCAAGCCGCTCCACACTGACATGGGTACGTCTGAATAGCACAAGTGAACTTGCAGTGGCCTTTGTTTGGCGTCTGCTGCAGATCCGCATCTTACAAATTTAAGTGCATTCTATATTTACGTGTCATATTATGTGATGTGCTCACTATAACGACTATAGCATCTACATTGCAGATGCCAGTAGCATGTTCGCAGGGCTCGTGGTCGGACCCTTTTCGGAACATGGCCAGCGCTGGCATAAGAACATGCTCATGCTCCTTGTTGGCCAACATCGACTGCACAAGAGTGGCATGGTCGTTTTGCGCGCTGTCAATTGCCTTTGATCATCATCCGAAGATCACAGCGCTCAACATGTCGAACTGGATAGCCACATATAACCATGAAAATGCCTGGCAAAAGAATTTTGGTAAGGTAAAGCCAAGCATCTGACTGGCAAAACACCCCGGTGACCACCTGCACATCGATAACTTTGAGGTGCAAATACCCTCAAACGGGCAAAGCACAGGCAAAGAACTTGACGAAGCTCTCGTGACATAGCATGCGACCAAAATGGACGGACAACTGCAATGCATGTGACCGAAAAGACGGACAACAACAAAACCCAAGGCGGGAAGGCAACAACAGATAGCTGGGACGCCACAACTCGACTACTGGTGAAAGACAGCCCACAGACGAGTCTGGACAGCCTCCATCCAGCGGTGAAGCGCACCGTAGTCAATCCCTGTGCCCTTCACAACTCAACCCCACGTGGCAGCCAGGGCCACGGCAGGATGCGGAGGTAGGGAACGAACATCCGGTCTACAAGGGCAGGTCAAAAAAGTGATCAAAAGTACCAAGCTCGTCACAGCCATCCCAAATGCAAGCCAAAGAAGGCCGATGAGCAATACGACCACCGAGGTTTGCCGGCGACCAGTTCGCGCCACAACAAATGGTACGAGCCTGACTGTAACCTACCTTACTGCAACACACAGGCAATGACGAGCTAGATGATCTCAAGCAAACAAGGCAAACTCATGAACAAGCATCGAAATGACTTTGCACAGCTGCTGTTCACCAGGACAGCTGCTACATAACCTGAACAGCAGTAAATACGCTTGATCGTACTGTGCAGGGAGAGTGCTGTATCGCTCCGATGCTTGTCGCTGTCGCGTGCGAAAGCTTAAGCAGCCCCATCACATGCAACACCTGAGCTCTTCTCTGACCCTCAGCCCTGCACCATTCAAAAACCATATGACCGCAGGGAATTTCCTTGCAGAAAAGTTGTCGGATGTTGAATCCAAAGCTTCTGAGCACGAGGTTTGCGGCTAGCACACTTTGCACTACAAGTCTTGCCGGCGCGTGCATGGGAATCCATGCTCCCATGCACACATGCCCACCAGAGGGGTGAGGCCATGCGGACGGCCTCTTGTAAGACCTACTTCAAGAGCTCAGTACCATCAAGTTAGACAACAGGTTGTCCGCAACAAGCCAGGTCATGCTAAATCCTACAAGTGGTGCCTTTCTTGACCAATCTCGGAATTGGCCAAACGTGCTAGGTGCGAAGTCTCAGAACGGCTTGGGCTCTACCAGTTGCCCTTTCTAAAGCCAAAGGATGCAAGTGCAAGCACTGTTGGTTTTATGTGCAGCTGGGTTGCGTTCAGCACAGCAAAATACCTGGCAATACACATGTAGATGTCGTCCAAATGCCAAGTGCTGTATTAATTCAGTTTATGGCGACCTTGAACATTCTGGAAGAAGGTGTTCTGAAGACATGCAAAAAAGTTCTGGTTGCTGATAAGAGACGTGAAAGCCACATAGAAAAGGAAGAGCAAAACCCAAGCGCCGGAGATGGCCCGCAGCGGGCACAGGATTTCTTCCCAGCTCACACCGTTTGAAATTGCCATAAACAAGGTGAGCATGGTCTCAGGCAGGGAACCTTGCAGTGAGGAGATGATGAGGAATCTAGTGAAAGCCATAGTTCATGAAGTACCAAGAGATACAGGCACTCTTCCAAAAGGTGCCGCTTGGAAGCAGATATGATAAGAATTGCTCCTACAGTCCTACAGCTGTCTGTCGCCAATAGCACTTTGCTGCAAGCGGCCCCAGTGTAGGAACATGACTACACATCTCACCTTTTCAGGGATTGCCTAGCTTGTTGGCCAGTTTCCGCAGCATGCCTTCCATCAAATAGAATACCCTATCCGGCTTTACCCGATATACTCTTTATACCCTATATAACCTCCATATACCCTACACAATCCCAGTACACCTTATGTAATAACTGCAAACCCTTGCTGAACACTTCGTAGCAACCAAAGTATCGTGCAGAATTCTCCAGGTTGGTCTGAGACAGCCTTGGGGCCTGCAACGTGAGACGTAAAAGCAAAACGCATATATCATACAATATATATGTATATATATACATATATATATATGTATCTACATGTCGTATGAATATATATATATAGAAAGAATGTGTGTATACACAACGTAGATGCACACAGAAATGGACGTATACAGTTTAGTAGACACTATATGTGGGCTTCCAAAAAAGTAGGGGGTACCTCTTCGGGGCTTCCCATGACAAGGATTATGATCGCAGTACCCTGCGGTCTGCATTGGGGTTCCCCTATTTAGGGCAAGTATCATGTCTATGACCATATGTCTGTGTAGAAATACTATAGATGTATGTAGACATGTAAACGGGCTGTATGGGGATTATAGAGGGTTTACATAGGGGTAATATGTGGGAGTTATTTTGCATGGGTTATATAGGGATATATTCACTCACCATACTGTTTCATCAAATGGAAGTAGAAAATAAGATGGAAACTGGTTTATGCAGGGGAAGACAGTGTAAGGGAAAGGGCAACAGCTGCAACCAAGCCAGGGCTAGAATAGTCCAAGAACAATGGGAATTTCTCATGTGGCAGCCCAGCCTCCGGATCAGATACGTGAGTATTCACAGCTTGCGTGAACAAGACCTGAGATGGGCAGAGTTGCTTCTGCTTTGGCCAGGTCGCATGAAGCACCTGTTTGGATGCCTCTAGGCTTCTAAGTGACCCCTGCGGCTTCCTGGACACAGTTCCGAAGCATCATGCTTCTGACGGCTAGAGACTTAGCAGAAGTGCCCTATTGCAATATAGTGGTCTCCATTTTCTCTTCCGTTATCCCTATATAACCCCAATATACTATATAGTTGTTTCCACATGCACTGGTGAAATCCCAAAGCCTCCGGCCAGCTCAAATCTTGGGCATGGCAGGTCTCCAGGAGTATGAGGGCGAATAGGGTCGTCATTGGGTTATACAGGGATATAGGGGCAATGGAAAAAATGGAAACTACATGAAACTACTATATAGTATATTGGGGTTGCAGAGGGATGATGGAAAAGAAAATTGAAACTAGTGTATCATAATAGGGCACTTCTGAAATGACAGAGGTCTGTGCGTCCATGTCTGTCCTCTGAAATCCACAGGAGATGGATGGCGACTGGAGGAAGTTTGCTGCTGAGCCATTGAAACTTCTCGGGGCTACTGTGGCGAGGCGTAGACAAAGGAGGCAGAAAGAATCTGAATCTGCAAGTTTAGCTCCCCACGAACGTATCGATCATACAGATTTAACTCGAGAGTGGTTTCGTACCCTCCCAATGACAGCTCACACTGAGTTTTTAATTGCTTGGTAGCCACCGGGCTCGATAGAAATGCCTTCCAGTCAAGCATCGTGCTGCCTTTATGCAACTAGGCCCCGTCATGACACCCACAGCAGGTCTCGTTGGAGGAGCCAGCTTCAGGACAAGTCAAATTGCATGCGCAACCCCAGCATGCTGGATCTAATTTGGATGATGCTCCCTACTTGCATTTGTTTCTCCCCACTGCCATGATGGCAGTGTGGAAAAATGATATCGCGTGCATCCGACTTTTCAGAGGCCTTGCAAGCTTCTGGAATCCAGACTCCAAGAATTGCCAGCATAGCGCTACTTGAACAAAAAGCCATGGGACTGACCAGGTTGATAATCGTCCACAACAACCAACGACAATAGCAAGGCAACAACAGCACCCAGAGCAGCAGTACTTGCGGGTCCGTGCAGCAAAGCAAGAACATGCAAGCTCTTGTCTTCAAGGTGCAAATGTCATGTCCTAGCCTCGCCGTCTACACTTCTATGCACACGGCTTCTGTAACGCCTAGGCCCGTATTGCAAGCAAGGCTCCGCAAACACGTAGACGATGAGGAGCAGCAAAATCAGTGCCCAAAACAGTGCCTGCTGGCATGCTTGGCTCATGCATGCAGGTTGTCCGGTTGACTTTGGACACGACAGATGGCTTCTAGGTGTGAAACGCATCTGCAGATTGCTGTCCCATCTTGCCTTCAAGGTGTGGAAGATGGAGGAGATCAGCGTCCGGAACGCCATGACAAAGCGAAACACACGCATCAGCTGTATCTGAGGCAAATTTCACACTCTTCTGCCAAGTGTTGTCCCCGTCATGTCCACCCCGCACAAATCGACAGCAAGGGGGGTTCTTGTTTCCTTACTAGGCATTGAGGAGAAGGACTCCTCTGGGGCCAACCACTGCTTGATCCTTGGGGGCACTGGGAAACTGCTGGCACTCTGTAGGGACAAAGTTCTCCGCTGCTGCGGGAAAACTTGTGACCAACGCTCTTTTGACTCCCGCGTTCTTTCATGTTCCCTCTTTCTTTCTGGCGTTGGCAAATCACACATCTGCAATTGAAGCGCACTTGCTCAGTATTGGAATTCCGCTCCATCTACCATTTTTTCGTTCATTCGGAGGTCAGGGCTCTCAGTGAGAGCCTCGGCCTAGATACCCCTCCTGTCTATAAGCAGAACTGTGAAGACAAATGGACAACAGCTAAAAACACTGTCTCGTGTCGCTTTGTTTCGTTCGAACCTGGTATCACTCCCCCACTAGTCTAACGAATCAAGGAACTAATACCGGCAATTCAGAGGCAACCTGTTGCTTGCTGCTTAAAGACGGGATGTTGTTGTGGACTCTGCGCACTGCATGGCAATCCCGACTGAAGAGCTCCATGTCCGAACATCGAGAATTGCAACAAGAGAAGGCAAAACTGTTGTATGATGTTGCCCGCTTATCCAGGGCAAGGTGCAGTCTTGACAATGCGCGTGATGCGTATGATGCGAAACACTTTCAAGCTTGAAATCCCAGCAATCTTGTCAATGTTGCTGTCCACAGCTTCGACGGCGGTTACAATGTCCACAACGACCTCCCAGAGGGATGTTGCCTTAGCATGCTAGGCGGCAGGCTTTCAGAAGCATTGATGGGCGCTGCACTGGATTACGGAGTCTTTAGCCCTAGAGGGACCATCTGAAGCCACAGAAGGAGCTCCAAGGAACAAAAAGGAAGTCTTCAGCCAAACGTCCACAATGAACACGTCAAGCAGGCTCCACATCCAGTCGTCCAGGCACAATAATCCCAGGCCGTTCGCTGCAAAACGAAGTGCCAGCTCGATCGTGAAGAGACTGGTAAAACAGTACTGCATCACCTGTATGTGCATGGGTCGCAGATCGATAGTTCCAATGCTCAGCTGCACGTCAACTCCGATGAAAATTGCATTCAGCAGGACAACGACTGCGAAGAACCAGTCGAAAAAAGGATGGCCGACCAACTTTTGGAAGCAGGAAGTTGGATCGCGCATGTGATCCAGGCTATTGCCCTTGAATGTAGCGAACCTCTTCCGAGAGTTGGCGCCATCAGCAGTTTCTGCACTCTCCCTCAGCTTCAAGTCCGCCTGCGAGAACCTCGGGTCATCTGGGATACAACCGCTATCGCCCACTTGTTCTCAATGGAAAGTGGGTACTACAAAACCCCAACAGCTGGAAAAGCCTGATCCAGGTGCTGCTCATCCCAGGCACGTGCTAAATAGCTTGGGCGTGAAAGAGTTCCGAGGGGTGAAGGAATGGCGTGAGCTGCGCTCAGAGAATTGCACGCTTGGGCGTTTGCGCATGACCTGGAAGCTGAACATGAACACAATCTCGACAATGCTACTCAAATTTCGGGAAAGGGGCTCTGCTACCTCTTTGTAAGGCCAATTCAAATCTGCTTAGGTGCTCTCCTGCCAGCACTGGAATTTTTGCAGGCCAGGTGCACGCTCCGTTGGAGACCCTATCGTCTCTTCGTGTAACACTTCTGGCAAGTTGTCAATATCTGTGACTTTGGTCGGCATGGGTAGCACAGCGCATACAGCGCCCTCGTTCGAGTTGTTCGACAGGCCTCTGCTGCTTGAATCCCAATGTTTGCAGGGGCCACAGGCGTTCCAATAGAGACAGGTGCAAGACATTGATTCCAGATCGGAGCCTGTTAGCATCAGTCAGGAGATTGAATTGAAGCCGCTCCGCGTGGAACAGTAAGTGCAAATCACGGGAGCTGCATGCTTACAGGCTGGGACTGCCCCCGATGAGGCTCGTGGAACATGTGAGGGCAACGCTGTAACACGTCTTTTGGAAATGAAAGACATCATCCCAAAGGACGTATTGGCCTATCTGTTGATCTAGGCCCTCCATGACTTGAAGGCAACTCGACATTATGCCAGTTTCAATGTTGCTTTCCGGAGTCTTTTCCATTTGATTCCTCACGCTCGCCCTAATCCCGCAACCCCAAACTCCGAATAATGTGGTGGCTTCCATTTACTATTCTGTGCTCTTTGCTCTTAGTCAGTTGCCTTCCACCTAAATACAAATAAATATCATATACAGATATATATATATATGAATACAAATTCACGTATAGATATATGAGCTACAGTCAATATTTCCTACACAATTTAATGGACATGGGTTCTTTATTAGGAACTATATTGGGGACTATACTAGACTATACTAAACTACAAGAGGGAATTCTTTGTCCATTGTTCAGGGTCCCTCAATCAGCAAGACTAATATTCACAGCAGCTCATGTACATTCCTCCCAACCCTGCATAATCCCAGTTTCCATTCCATTTTCTATTTCTTGTCATTCGATTCTCCATTCTAATATTTGGAGACAAGCCAGGCCGCGCTCCATGTCAAAGGTATGCTGCGATGTTGCACGGGATGGACTCCTTCACACACTCTGCCAGTCTGGAAATCAGGAGCGCAGGATGTTGCACCATACTGCCGAGTGTCTGCACCCCAGATTTGTTGTCGCGTACGCACCTCACAGCAAAGCAAGAACATCTGCATGAGCCGCGTGCCAACAACCGGCAGGTGCAGGTGTCTAGAATTGCTTCAACGTGGAACAGCCTGTAAGTTACAAGATGGAGAAGATGACCTGACAGATTCCACACCAATACACGTCAAAACAACAAGCAATGTGTTCAACTCATGGCTTGTTGTTTGGGTGGGTGAGTTGTGGCTTGGCTATAGGAATGAGGAATGCTGCCGTGCTGCTTGATCAAAATCTGGCTCAGGACATCATCCTGCACTTCCAACTTTCGGATTATCTCCTCCAGGGCACAGCCAGGCTTTGCTGAAAGCCGGCAAAGCACAGGTCTTCATCATCCAGGTTGCTTGCACAGATCAAGCGGCAAAGGGTCCCGATGATGCTGGGCCACGAGTGCTGGCAGCAGAGCATCCTTCACGCTGTTGCGAGCTCGCGGGCTGTCCTCCAAGAAAAAGGGCTTTACAGAGTCCGGGATTTGGGGAGTGTGTATCTACTGATTCGATGACCACATTCGGAAGCATTGTCTGCGCGAGGTCACGCATGTCCTTGGCAAACTGGACCCGCATCGTGCTGCGTGGGGAGTTGATGGGCTCCTGCAAAGATTTGAACAGCACCACGCGCAAGCAGTTGCATACCAACAACATCCAGAAGTGAGACAGCTAGGCTTCGGCTGGAGTTCTACGCGACTCCGACTTTGGCATGTCCTCATCATCTGAGTCCGGAAGGTTCTCATCTTGCAATGGATGGGCCATGTTGAAAACTAAAGCGCTCAAGTCGCTCAAGCCTGGAGAACATCATAGTTCTGGAGGTGTCCATGCTGGTGATTGCACGTATCTTCCCGAGGATCTTGAGCAGGCAACCGCTATCTAAAAAGCGTTGCTGGTGGTGAGATGACCATGTATCTGCCAGACCTTTTCTTGCACTGTCTGCTTGTGAGCCGGGGCCGGCTATCAGCGGACAGGGGGTACATGAATTGATGGACAAGACATGAAGCGTCCACAAGTTGCTTCTAAACTCTGGTGACTAGCTGAGATGAAGCCTCCGATGCTTGGTAGCGCACGATCCGCCGCTGCGGCTCGGGGGCGGTAGCCTAAAGTCTGGATGCTTCTGCTCTTCCCCTTTGTCCCCAGACTGCAGCTGGTAGCAGGACAGCTGGTTCTGCCGCCAATCTACAAGCAGACGGTACAAGTACATCTTCTGCATTGGTCACATCTGGCCTGCAATATTTGCTGCAATACTTCTGCGTTGCCATCACTCCTGTACGACTTTGCAGCTTCTTCTGTAACGACGACTGACGACTACTTTATACAACTACTGCTACTGCTGTCTCTACTGTCTCTACTTCTACTACTTCAACTATTGCAGCGAAGACGGTGGCAGCGATGATGCCTATATTTCAATGGCCTGTATGTAGCCATGCAATTCCTGACGCAGCATCCGGGGCCTGGGCACGGCCGCCATGGGCCAGGACAGCAGCTTGAGCGCTTTGCGGTCTTGTATGATGCTGCAGTGCTGCTTGTTGGACTTCTGCTAAAAAAGTACATGTCCTGCGACTGCCGAGGCCTGGCGCCCTCCGAGGTGTAAGCAGAAACGGCAGGCGAGCTGCATCAGTGACTGCTTGATGGAGAAAGCATGAAAAGCCTACGAAGAACTATTTTCTCCGAAAACCCCACTTCCTGACTGCTGGTGCTATGTCTTCCTGCTTGCAGTCCAGCCTTCAGCTGTGCGTCCTGTTCTGCAAAATCCGCAGCTTGGAAGAGGGCCCTGACCTGCTTGGAGACTCAGTAGCCCATAAGCCGAGGGCTGAACCAAGCTTATATGTCAAGGCCGGGAAGGACAAGCAGCTTTTTGCACAGGTTGTCTGATCGTCTGAAAAGACCAGGGTCTGTTCAAGCGGCTGTTTCCTGCTAAGACAGATGGGGGCAAAGCCAAATTTACTTGGGGATTGTAGAGCTCTAGATACTGTTACTCCTTATGTAACCCTGATATTACCCCAATAGTGTATAGTCCAATCTACTGTAAAATAATAGACCCTAGGACCGAGCACGACTCTGGCGTGGCTCGGGCAGGCCTGGTCCAGGTCCAGTGAGCCTGCAAGGACTACTTACTTACAGTGTATCTGAACTGGAAATCCTAGCCGAAGGGCAGCTCACGCAACGTGACTCCGGGCTTGGCGGCTTTTCAGGCAGAATTCCAAGGTCAAAACTTGCTGGACTGCTAGGAAGCTGAAGCTGAACAACGCTAAACTCGCATACCGCAACAGTCAAAGATGACACCCAAAGGGGTGCCTAAATCTACTGAAAGATTCCAGCATATTCCAGCCACAGTCCAAAGAATGCGTGGGGGACCAACAAGCTTTGCACATACCTGATCACAGGCACTAGCATAACACTAAGCCCTTGCTGCAGATTGGGACAACTGCTGCTTCGTGTTCTCCTTCTACTAGTTAGTAGGATGACCGATACTTCATACCAATATGACTCGCACTTCATGATTGCTCTTACAACATGGGTGTTTCCATGAGCAAGTGAGACCACCTGTATACCCCTCAAATATGCCAGCCCGTATCAAGGTGCCCAAGAAGCTGGAACATGCTCTCTGTGAACCCGCACATGACCTATAGTCTAAACTCTCAGCAGCCCCCTTTAATAACCCATATAATACTCCCCTATATATCCCCCCTTGAAGGAGTTTCGACCCTAAACCCTACATAACCACCTATATAATCCCCTATATCCCTCCTTTGAGGAGTTTAGATTATGGCTCACATGAGCTATAGTCTAAACTCCTAGTATGTCCCTTGGTAACCCCCATAGTAGTCCCCTGTATAGTCCCCTATATAACCCCCTTTAAGGAGTTTAGATTATGGCTCTGCGCCTCCCTGAACCTCGCTCCGTGCCGCTGCGTGCAGCGATGCTGCGGCCTCGGCAGCCGCGCCGGCCACCTGTCAATAATGGAGTCATGTAGGGTTTAGGGTTTTAGGGTTTTAGGGTTTTAGGGTTTTAGGGTTTAGGGTGTAAAGTTCAAAGTTTCGGGTTTAGGGTTTGAAGTTTAGGGTTTGGGGTTTAGGGGTTACGGTTTAGGATCTAGGGTTAAGGGTATATTGGTTTTATATAGTGGTAATGAAAAGAAAATGGAAACTATTGTAGTACCCTATATTACCCTATATTATCCCCAGTGGGGTTATATTGGGGTAATGGAAAAGAAAACGGAAACTACTATAATGGGTCATATAGGGCAATATAATAGGATTACAAGACTTTCGTTTCCATCTTCCGAATACCAAAAAAAAACTAGCCTTCCTTACATCCAAAGACAGGTGCGCAGCAGTAACTTGAGGAATTATGGGCGTCTCAGCATTCAGGTTTCACCAGGTTTGTGTGCTCAGGAGCTGCGGACTATGGTGTTAGGAGTTTAGGAAGACAGTTTGGGTTCACATTTTGGGCTTGGCTGGGGGGGGTTGTGTGCTGTGTGTGGTTTGGCCTGAGATCTTGTAGGTCGGATCCTTGTAATGAGGATGCTCATGCATGCTCCTAATTAATTACCCTAATTGCGTGAGAAACCGATTTTCTGTAACTGTAGCAGCCAGCTTAGACGCACAATGGCAGGGCTGCTGCTCGTCTCGCGAATGGGTCTCTCGTCCCCCTTGATTCCATTGCCGCACTGCTGTGTTCATACTTGATCAAGCCTTCCGAAAATGGTAATGCTGGACCTCGTGCAACAACTCCAGCACAGGCTCCACATCCTGATCAAAGCATCAGGGTCTGAACTTGGCTGAACGGCTGCCGCCTGCTACTTTAGCCTGGACAGTGTGTCTTCAATAGCTGATAGCCCTGACAGTCTGGCGGCAAACTTCTTAGACCAGTAGGTCCTCAGCAGCAACGCGGTGCTGCTCAATGTCTGTGAGGCCTTCAAAAGATTGTCCATTCCAATCTGATCTAGATGACCAATGATCAAGAAGATGGGCAGGCTTCCCTTTGTTTCTGATCTTGGTCCAAACACTTTCAGGCCCCTACGAAGAAGACCAAAAAGACGCACCCACACCTTCCAGATTTGGGTTATTTCCGAAATATTGTTGCTGGAATCGTTGAACATGTGGTTTTTCCTGCGTGCAGCCTCATGTCGGAAGCTTGAAATCGGCCTACTGTTACAAAGCACGTTCCTATTGGAATTGTTGGATTTGTAGAAGGCTCTTATCGCAGAGCTTGTTCTTGTTTTGCCATTCCCTTCTGACCAGAGACGGCGCGTGCCTCATCCGTCCCTTCGAGGAATCTGCACAAAAAATGAATGAGAATGTTGATTCCAAAAGTATGCCAGACGCTAGGAATGACATACCGGGAAAACAAAAAGAGATGAGTACGTGGGGTATGGGTCCTGTCCCACTGTGCCAGACACTGGAAATAGCACGGTATGAATGCGATGGAAAGAAAAGTAAGGAGGTGGAGTGTCCTCCAGCTGCCCACCACTTACGGAGGACACTGGCGATTCATGCCGCCTCATGTCGAAGATTTCAAACGATCCCGATGATCCTAGTTTATATACCTATTCTTTATAACCCCTATTTAACCCCAATTAAACCCTGATATAACCCGAATATCACCCCAATTTAACACCAATACAACCCTAACATAACCCCAATGTAACCCCAATATAACCCAAATATGACCCCGACATAACCCGGTTTTTGGACGTGGCTCAAATTTGGAATCCAGTAGCGGCCTGGAGCATCTCGCTTTGCTAAGGCCGCCGACAGTTCCTCCAACAGTGGGAATATGGAATTTTCCCAGAGTAGTGGGACCCCAATATAGACCCCCAAATATGATTGTCCATATAGGGACTCCCAAAAAGGGACCCTCAATTTT